AAAACAACGCAATAATGACGCAATGATCCCGTCCACACATACGAAGGGGACGTTATTGTCACAGCGATGACACTCCGCTCGGGCACCTGACGGGGTTATCTGGGCTTGACAACCTGAATGCGAAATTCCAAGTCGTTGCTCTGCATCGGCATCAACTCCAGTGGACATCTTTCCCCTGAAGCCCTCTCGTGGTGGCTAGCAGACCTCGACATTAGCACTCACCTCCCGAACACATACATGGTCATCATCATCATCATCCGAAAGAAAAAACGCATGGAACCTCCACAAACACGCAATGACCAGAGTGGTGAAGTATGGTCGAACCCGCACGACCCGCAACGGAGTGTCAAGGGAGACCCCCTCAATCCAGCAGTGGATGCGCATGTACAAATATTAATTTCCTCTTCGATTTATAATTAAACTCTGTTGGTTTCTCACACGATTGAATAGCGGATAATTCTTACCAAGACCATGGAGTCAACATTGGGGGGGACCAAATCTTCCAGGGGGTCTGGGGGTCCCTCCCCCAGAAAAAAAATCTAAATTTTAAAACTAATTTCCTGCCATTTCCTGCCTAAAATATATTTTAAAAAATTACTAACACATAGGATGGACTTTATATTTATTTTTTACAATAATGCCTAATAGTGTATATTGTATTACATTGCTCTGGTTTTTCTTTTTTACCATTTCTTGTGTCATTGTATGTAATGGCAGAGATTATGGATTAATAAAGTACAACCATAACCACAATTGTATTAACAGAACTCTATTTTATAGCAATATATTGGGGGGGCACACATTATAATTACGGTCTTCATTCTTACACGTACACTGTAGCCACAGCGAATGTATATATAGTTAATATAATGGGAGTAACGAATTGCCGTTCGGAAAGTTGACGCTCACGATTGAACGCGAGTCTCAGCGCAACAGAAGCATCGCGCTCGACTTCAAAACATATAAACCCGTTATCTCCATGTGTATAAAAGGCAAAGTTGTGATTATGTGTGTCTGTTCAAAGTGTTTAGCGTACTTCCCGACATGCAACAAACTTGAAATTTGCCATGTGGGTACTTTCCAGACTGTACACCATACAAACATTCTAAAAATACTTTTGTGTTTTTTTTTGGGGGGGGGGGGGGGGGGTGAGCTCAATAATGCATAATTTATTGCACGGCAAGTGAGCTGTGACGTCACATATGTCACGTGACCCGCGCACGTGGAAGCGTAACGCATTGTAGTGGTTAGCGCGCCGCGCTACGAACCCGGCGACCCAAGTTCGATTCCCGCTCACGGCCACCACCGGTGACGATTATTTGAACCGATCCTGGGCCTCCCCTAGGTCGACTCAGCCTCAAACGAGTAACTGCTGTGGTGTGTGAACATCGCCACTGGGGATACAAAGGTGGCCGGGCGTGGTGGATCCAAAGTCCCGGGCGAAGCCGGGTAGTACAGCTAGTTACATTATATAATCGGAAGCTTGCACTCATTTGCACACGCGGCAACCCCTTATCAGTGCCCTACCTTGTTACAGACCAATTCAGATCTTATTGGTTATACCCCGTGCCCTTTATAAATCTCAACGTTCATCCTACAAAGCCCCATCACAAATAGACAATAATTGTTGTTGTTGTTGCCCGTAGTGAAACGGCTGTACGTCGTATGGACCTGAAAACTAAATTTCCCTGTACAAGAATACGGGGTAAACCGTGTTGTGACAGGTGTGGTACGGTGGAGTGTACAGTAATATAGTGTAGTGTATAGTGTAGTGTATAGTAATGTAGTGTAGTGTATAGTAATGTAGTGTAGTGTATAGTAATGTAGTGTAGTGTATAGTAGTGTAGTGTATCGTGTAGTGTATCGTAATATAGTGTAGTGTATAGTGTAGTGTATAGTAATGTAGTGTATAGTAATATAGTGTAGTGTATATTAATGTAGTGTACAGTAATATAGTGTAGTGTATAGTAATGTAGTGTATAGTAATATACTGTAGTGTATAGTGTAGTGTATAGTAATGTAGTGTATAGTAATATAGTGTAGTGTATATTAATGTAGTGTACAGTAATATAGTGTAGTGTATAGTAATGTAGTGTATAGTAATATACTGTAGTGCAGGGGTCGGGAACCTATGGCTCGCGAGCCAGATGTGGCTCTTTTGATGATTGCATATGGCTCGCAGATAAAACAAAATATTCTCACTTGTTTTAATCCATCCATCGATTTTTCACTGCGCATGTCCTGTTCAGGGCTGCAGGAGCAATTGTCCATTATTTTAATTGGATGATACTGGCCTACGTTTGCCGTTGCTGGGTAAAACAGGTAAACGCCCCCTTTTGAATCAGTCTGAGACTGCGTCTGCTCGGTCATTAGCTCAAAGCTAACCCTTCGACGAAGAAGATGGCGAAAAGAAAAAAAGACGACGAGTATCGTACATTTCAGGACGAATGGACCGAAGAATTCGCCTTTGTGGAGAGAGCGGGTTCTGCGGTGTGTCTAATTTGCAATGACAAAATTACATCGTTGAAACGGTCGAATGTAAAGCGGCACTTCGACACGCGCCACGCTACCTTTGCATCAAAATACCCTGCGGGAGACAGCAGAAAGAAAGCGTGCCAAGAGCTTCTGAGCAGGGTGCAAGCTAGCCAGCAGCAACTCCGCGTATGGACCCGGCAAGGTGACTATAATTCGGCTAGCTTTGCTGGTTCTTTAGCAATAGTGAGGAACGGAAAACCATTCACAGATGGCGAGTATGCTAAAACGTTCATGCTGGATGTAGCCAATGAACTTTTTGATGATCTTCCGAACAAAGACAAGATAATCAAACGGATACAAGACATGCCTCTGTCGGCAAGAACTGTTCATGATCGTACCATCGTGATGGCAAACAACGTGGAGGAAACGCAAGTGAAGGACATAAATGCAGCGCCGTTCTTTTCTCTGGCTTTGGATGAGTCAACAGACGTGAGCCATTTGTCGCAGTTCAGCGTGATTGCAAGATATGCTGTTGGTGACACACTGCGCGAAGAAAGTCTTGCTGTTCTGCCATTAAAAGGGTCCACAAGAGGTGAGGATTTATTCAAGTCTTTCATGGAGTTTGCTCAAGAAAAAAGTCTACCTATGGATAAACTTCTCTCAGTGTGTACTGATGGTGCTCCGTGTATGGTGGGGAAAAACAAAGGATTTGTGGCGCTTCTCCGTGAACATGAAAATAGACCCATCCTAAGTTTCCATTGCATTATACACCAGGAGGCACTTTGTGCTCAGATGTGTGACAGGCAGTTTGGCGAAGTGATGTCGCTGGTCATTCGTGTGATCAACTTTATTGTTGCCCGAGCCTTAAATGATCACCAGTTTAAAACACTGCTGGATGAAGTTGTAAATAACTATCCTGGTCTGCTTTTGCACAGCAATGTGCGTTGGTTGTCAAGAGGGAAGGTGCTTAGCCGTTTTGCGGCTTGCCTGAACGAAATCCGGACTTTCCTTGAAATGAAAGGCGTCGGGCATCCTGAGCTAGCCGACACCGAGTGGCTCCTCAAGTTTTACTATCTCGTAGATCTGACTGAACATCTGAACCAGCTCAACGTGAAAATGCAAGGCATTGGAAATACAGTGTTATCCCTTCAACAAGCTGTATTTGCTTTTGAAAACAAGCTGGAGCTTTTCATCACGGATCTTGAAACAGGTCGTTTACTACATTTTGAAAAACTGAGCCAATTTAAAGATGCATGCACAGCAAGTGAGCCCATTCAAAACCTTGATCTCCACCAGCTAGCTGGCTGCACATCCAGTCTCCTACAGTCCTTCAAAGCACGCTTTGGAGAATTTCGTGAGCACACTCGTCTTTTTAAGTTCATCACCCATCCAAACGAGTGTTCACTGAACACAGCCGACCTGAATTACATCCCTGGTGTCTCCGTCAGAGATTTTGAAGCAGAAGTGGCTGACCTGAAGGCCTCAGACATGTGGGTGAATAAGTTCAAGTCACTGAATGAAGATTTGGAAAGAATCACACGACAGAAAGCGGAGTTGGTGAGCAAGCACATGTGGACAGAAATGAAAAAACTCCAACCCGAAGACCAGCTGATTCTCAAAACTTGGAACGCGCTTCCTGTCACATACCACACACTGCAGCGTGTGAGTATTGCTGTATTGACCAAGTTTGGATCTACGTATGGATGTGAGCAGTCATTCTCACATCTTAAAAACATCAAGTCCAACCTACGATCACGTTTAACGGATGAAAGCCTCAACGCTTGCATGAAGCTTAACCTCACCAAGTACCAACCCGACTACAAAGACATCAGCAAATCCATGCAGCACCAGAAGTCGCATTAATGGTGAGTGTTATAACATTATTTAAAAGAATAAATTCAGAGGCTTATTATACTGACATTTAGTTGAATTCACTTTTAAAATATATTATATGGCTCTCACTGAAATAAATTTCCAATTTTTTTGCTTTCATGGCTCTCTTAGTCAAAAAGGTTCCCGACCCCTGCTGTAGTGTATAGTGTAGTGTATAGTAATGTAGTGTATAGTAATATAGTGTAGTGTATATTAATGTAGTGTACAGATATATAGTGTAGTGTATAGTAATGTAGTGTATAGTAATATAGTGTATAGTAATATAGTGTAGTGTATAGTAATGTAGTGTATAGTAATATAGTGTAGTGTATAGTAGTGTTTCGGATACCTGTCAACGCCTTATCAGTGCCCTTCTTTATTACAGACCAATTGAGACCTTATTGGTGACCCCGTGCCCTTATACATCTCAACGTTCACCCTACAAAGTCCCATCACGAGGAGAGAAACACGAATAGACAAAACATTTTTGTTACCCGTATTGAAACGGCTGTATGCAGTATGGACCTGAAAACTCAATTTCTTTGTACAAGAATACGGGTGGGTAAACGGTATGTGTTGTAAGGGGCAGTAGCAATACAAATACACAAAGTTACATGCAAAAGCCACCACAATCAAACGGCACGCACACGCACCTTCGACTCGTTCATCTTGCGAGCACCCGTTGATGATAAACAGTTAAAAGTAATAATAATAACGTGGTTTTTTTTGTTCTTAAATTATTTTTGTTATCGCTCGCGGCGTTAATTCGCTTAAACGAGGCGTTGTTTGGCGATATTTAACGCGGCGACAAAACCCTACAATAGATAAGCGCGTACAGAGGCGAGATTGGTTGTATATTTCGCAGTCCGCTTAAGCATTGTCGGGCCAGCATCGGCGCGTCCCATTGGATCGTTGGTTGTGACGAGCACGTGACCCGTCGCCCGTGCCAGCCAATCAGATGTCGGAGGGGGGGGGCATGGTTAAGGGGGGTTGGTGAGGGGGGGGCAAACGTGTCACGTGATACCACGTGTGGGGGGAGGGCGGAGGGGTATTACCACGTGACCAGGGTAACGGGACTGGCCACGCCCGTCGTGTAGTCACGTGACGAGACGTCTCAAAATGTTTATTTCGACTGGAGGAATACGAAGAGCTATAAAGCTCTTTTCTACATGTCTACAGAATGATGTCCAGCCCCGTGGCCGTCCCGTCAACTGCCCCAACAGACAGCCCCGTGGCTGCCCTTCAACTGCCCCAACTGACAGCCCCGTGGCTGCCCTTCAACTGCCCCAACTGACAGCCCCGTGGCTGCCCTTCAACTGCCCCAACTGACAGCCCCGTGGCTGCCCTTCAACTGCTCCAACTGACAGCCCCGTGGCTGCCCTTCAACTGCCCCAACTGACAGCCCCGTGGCTGCCCTTCAACTGCCCCAACTGACAGCCCCGTGGCTGCCCGTCAACTGCCCCACGAGCTGTAGGGCCGGGTCTCTGTCCACTCAGTGGCGCTCTGAACGCTCTCACTGGGCACCGCGAGGCCCTGGGGTCTCATCCCTGCAGTTCCCCGTCTTGGTATAGCCAAACTGTTGGGGCAAGTGCTGTTAGCGAGCACCTATGAAGGCCGGCACAGCTCACGAGGGGGTGGGTGGGCCAGCACCACGCCCGGCCGCCTTTGTCTCCCCCGTGGCGATGTTTTACACACCGCACTAGGTACTCATTTTAGGCTGAGTCGACCTAGGGGACGCCCAGGACCGGTTGGGATTGTTCGCTACTGGTGGTGGCCGTGAGCGTGAATCGAACTCGGGTCGCCTGGTTCATGGTGCAGCGCGCTAAGGGGCCGTCCATAAATGACGTCACGCACCTGGGGGGGGGGTCAGACATTTGTGACGATGTAAATAGGTTCAAATTAATAAAAATAAAAATAAACTACGACGTTTCGATCACAACACGAGTGATCGAAACGTCGTAGTTTTTTTGTTCATTTTTTTATTAATTTGAACCAATTTAACGTGACTTTACCTGCACGGTTACTTTTCTAACTCGGAAACACTCGATTCGATTCGCAATCGATAACACCATAATCGACTATCGATTACAATTTTCTGAATCGATCGCGGGCCCGGGGCACGTGACGCGTTAAGGGCCAATCGGCGCCACCCCCCTTCCCCTCCCACCTCCTCTCCCATAGCAACCACGACGGCGTCTCAAAGATGTCGGCTCGCGGATCCCGCTCGGCCTTCGTTCTGCACGGATTCAAGGCCGCCCTCAGGTCTTCGCCCACCACCCACCCACAACTTTGTGTTTGTTTACGGCGGAAATTTTTTGTTGGTTTAAATCACGAGAGATTAAGAGAAAGCGTCGAGTTGTTTAAAATGTATTTTTTTTAAGTAGGGGTAGGGGAAGGTGGGGGAACATCCGAGCGGTTGCTAGGCAACCCTCGAGTTGTTGCCTAGCAACGCGAACAGCAAGCGCCTGCAGATCGGAGACTTTTTTGTTATATATTCTTAGTTTTTTCGGTAAAGTCACGTTGAAGGGAAACAACAAAATAATAAAATATATAAAACAATAAAAAAATTCTCACCACGTTTCGACCATAACTCAAACGGTCGTCTTCAGGTGTGTTGGTTTGCATAAATTTATTTTTAAGCGGCGCATTTATTTATTTATAAAAAACGTTAGCGCCACGCGCAACGATTTGGCAGTTTATTTAGGACTAGTCCATCTATGTTCTGAAAATAGGAGGGGGGAGACGAAATGTTTTATAATGTATGTTGTCTGAAAGCCACTGTAAGCGTGAACAATCAATTAAGACCTGAAATGGTTTATCAAATCTTTCCAATGATTGCTAAGCCAGAATCCATCTTCTCGGTTGAAATTGTCTCTGTGCTTGTATATGTGGATAGCCTCATGAACGAATCTCTCATGGTAGCCAGATGGCTTACAAAGAACCTCTGTCTTGGAAAAGTCAATGTCATGTGAACCTACTGAATTATAAGTGATCTGTCACGGCTGAGGTGTTGGTCCTTCCGTGTTTAAGGCCTGCTTTGTGTTCACGAATGCGGTCCGAGACATGGCATTTGGTTTCTTCAATGTAACTACCACAGAGGCAACTTAGTTTGTAGACACCAGGGTATTGTATGTTCGGAATCACATCTTTTACAGACGGAACCAGATCACACATTTTATGTAATGTGTTGAAACGGACCTGGATCTTGTGTTTATTCAAGATTTTGGAGATCTTTTTTGTGTTCCCCGCAATGAAGGGTAAAGTGATGGTTTTGAAAGGCTCCTCAAGAGGGTCCTTCTTCATGGTTTGAGTGATAGCTTTGCGGATTGTATAGTCGGAGTAACCATTAGCCTTAAGAGCTTGGTGTACGTGCTTGAGTTCACTGCCTATGTGTTCCTGGTCGGATATGCATTGGGCTCTATGGTACAGAGTCTTGATGAGAGAATTCTTCTGTGATGGATGGTGGTGGGAATCCGGTTTCAGATAAGCACCCGTATGGGTAGCTTTCCTGTAGACAGAGTGGCTCATTGAACCATCAGGTCTCTTTTTTTATTAGGACATCCAAAAAGTAGCTTGCCATCTTTTTCGACTTCCATGGTAAATCTGATGGCTGGGTGTATGGAATTGATGTGGTCGAAGAATTGGTCTAGAGCAGGCCGGCCATGTGGCCAGATGACAAAAGTGTCATCCACGTACCTCTTCCATAAGGTTGGGCGCAGAGTGGCAGTCTGGATGGCGTCAGTCTCAAATTTCTCCATGAAAATGTTAGCTATAACCGGAGATAGGGGGAGCCCATTGGGGTGCCCTCAGTTTGTTTGTAGAAAGTTCCATTCCAAGTGAAGTATGTATTGGTTAAACAGTGTCTCACCAGGGGGGGTACCTCAGTGTTTAGTCCTTGATGAACCAAGTCTTCAATGATTGCGATGGTGTCAGGTACAGGAACCTTGGTGAATAAGGAAACTACATCAAAACTGACAAGCAGGTCGTCTGGGGACAGGGAAATACCCTTGATTGTCGATACCAGGTGAGTAGAATTTTGTACCGCAGAGGTAGTTTTTTCCAGTGAAAGGACGCAGGATTTCAGACAAAAAACGAGCCAGTTTGTAGGTGGGGGAGTTGATCGTAGAGACGTACGTTTGCGGTGGGGTTTGGGTAGTGTAGAATTGGCGAACAGAGTTACGAGCTCTCTCACACGTTCGGACCGGATTAACTCTTAAAAAAAAAGATTAAGAATCGCGTGGCGCCGTTGCGGAGGTGCTATAGGCCGCCGTAACCAATGCTAATGACGATCGTTATTCTGTTGTGTATTGCAGTAGGGTGCAGCGTAATTGTTGGCTTCGTCAACGGTAGTCGTGAGCGTCATGATCGTCAGCTTCGTTAGAAATAACGTAACTCTGTAAATGTGCATCGAGCCGAGACCACACGTGGCGTAACGAAGATCGACAGTTCACCAGCATTGATTCGAGGCAGTCTGACTGCTGATGAGACACACTGGAGTGTCCAAACCGGTCCCGCGTTTGTTTGCTCGTTTTTAATCTGTGCTGGGATGAGTGAAGGGGACATTCGTGCCCGCTTACAATATTAAATTTCCTTAAAACATGAATTGTACAAACATGTCAAATGCAGGAACATCCTGAAAACTCGTCTTGACGTTCAGTGAGGCTGTTCTGAACAAATGAAGGACATTAGCTCGTATTGTTATTTGTTAATACCTAACTTCTCATCTATTACCATTCACCTCGGCTGAGTCAACAGGGATTTAAACTTGCGACCTGTTGATAGTGAGTCGTGGTCTTAAAGCATTGAACGTTGTACATTTTAGTGATTTTGTTGTACGTTTGTAATGGTTTTCTTTCGAATATATTTGTTCTGAGACGTTTTTCAAACGTGTTGATTTGAGATGTGTTTTTAATTAACTTCGTCAGCATGCAACAATTCTTCAATAATTCATTATTTTAAACTCATATTTTGTCATCTTCTTTGTATAATTTCTCATTTATTTTCTCCATGCAGTTTTTGTTGTTGCCCTACATATGACATTGGCATATGATTTACATACATATTAAGTAATTGATTCACACTGGCACCGTTCGGTGCACGATTGCCAGCTTGCGTATGAATTGTAATGGATGAATCAGTGCATCGTTAGATGTCCACTACGTACTTTGCACTCCGGGTTTTTCTTCACAAAGTGACTTTTAAAGATCTCCCGCCTTTGTATTAAAATAAAACACTGCCTCAGTGCTACTGCGCTTAGCAAAGAATGTTGGCTCCTTATCTCTCTGACTTGGAGTTTTGTCCTCTGTGCCACTGCTAGAGACAAGCCAAGTGAATACCTCACCAACTCTCAGAGGACTTCAACGTCCTCTTTCCTCAGCCAGAGCACAAGCTTCTCAGCTGGGAACATGAGGCCAAAAAGTGTCCCAGGTATGCCTACTGCTGGTATGCGATGCAATAGAAAAAAGATGCAACACAGCAAATAACATGAATAAATTACATTTGCAAAAGCGCCTTTCTACAAGGTGCCAAGGAGCTGTACATCACACATGCATATCTAATACAGCTCGCGTCTTACCCATGTTGAGGTCCAGCCTCAAGACTTTCCTCTCTTCTCTTGTATGACTGCTTACAAATATATAATAACGAGAAGTTGCCGGGTGGCACAAAAGGCAGAGCCCGAGTTGGCACCGCTGAGATCCTGGATTTTAATCCAGGCAGTTGCCTTTGATTAAACTGAGTTTGCAAGTGTAGTGAGTTGATGGTCACTGATAACCACACAAAAACAACCATATTCTTAGCTCTTTCGGTAAAGTCACGTTGAAGGGAAACAATAAAATAATAAAATATATATAAAACAATAAAAATTCTCACGACGTTTCGACCAAAACACAAACGGTCGTCATCAGGTGTGTCGGTTTGCATTAATTTACTTATTTTTAAACGGTGTATTTATGTATAAAAAACGTCAGCGCCACGCGCAGCGATTTGTCAGTTTATTTAGAAGGACGAGTCCATCTATGTTCTGAAAAGAGGAGGGGGGAGACGAAAAATTAATGTATGCTGTCTGAAAGCCACCTTAAGTGTGAACAATCAATTAAGACCTGAAATGGTTTATCAAATCTTTCCAGTGATTACTAAGCCAGAATCCATCTTCTCGGTTGAAGTTGTCTCTGTGCTTGTATATGTGGATAGCCTCATTAACGAATCTCTCATGGTAGCCAGATGGCTTACAAAGATGAGAGATTCGTTCATGAGGCTATCCACATATACAAGCACAGAGACAATTTCAACCGAGAAGATGGATTCTGGCTTAGCAATCATTGGAAAGATTTGATAAACCATTTCAGGTCTTAATTGATTGTTCACACTTAAGGTGGCTTTCAGACAGCATACATTAATTTTTCGTCTCCCCCCTCCTCTTTTCAGAACATAGATGGACTCGTCCTTCTAAATAAACTGACAAATCGCTGCGCGTGGCGCTGACGTTTTTTATACATAAATACACCGTTTAAAAATAAGTAAATTAATGCAAACCGACACACCTGATGATGACCGTTTGTGTTTTGGTCGAAACGTCGTGAGAATTTTTATTGTTTTATATATATTTTATTATTTTATTGTTTCCCTTCAACGTGACTTTACCGAAAGAGCTAAGAATATGAATTACTGCAGTCACGAAAGCTTTAAATCAAAATTTAAAAACAATCAAGTTATATTTTTCATAAAATTGGGGAAGTATAGGCCTCCTCTTTCCCGTGATATGTATGTCCCATATACATATCAGTTGCATCTAGCCATTCGAGAGCCAAATTGTATTTTAGATATGCAATTCGGTTGTGTTTTCCAGTTTTGACATACAACCGGTGTTTCCACTGTGCTGTGCTAACAACCCGGTGAACTGATCTTGAATTGTAACCACGGCTCAAATGGGTGCTGAGTGATACCTGAACTTGTGCAAGGTGCCCTCGCTTCAACCCATGTCAGTTGCAAAATTAGCATTTGTGCAGTGTGCAAACATGAGCACTGGGGAGGCCAAGCTGACCTAACATTGTGCTGCCCACAACCAACCATCTCTTTTGTTTGCTGTGTCACAACCATAATCGGTGCTTTTGAACAGCACTTGCCCCAACATTCTGAATAGCTATACGGGGGAGGTTTGCCTTTGTGTGTGTAGTTGCGTGCTCCTTCCCAGTCACTCTTACCAAGGGCTCGGCAACCTGCGGCTCAGGAGCCGCATGTGGTGGCTCTTTGACTTCCCCATTGCGGCTCTTTGGCTGCCCCTTTGCGGACAGCCGTTCAAAAAAAACCCCGTAAATCTTAAACAAAATTTTCCGTAAAGGTAATTGATGAAATACGGCAGGGAATGGGTCACTATGGAATGTCTTGGTGACGACAAAATGTGGAGTCAAACTCTATTGTTAAAGAATAACTCAGGGGGAGAAAAAAAACACTAAATAGATGCAATTTATTCCATCACCTGTTTTGCTTATTCAAATTAGAATGTGTGTCATCTGCTGTATACCTGCTGTGTTTGTGTATATGTGTACAAGTAGCTCTGTGTGCGATGTGGCTCTCGACCTATTTTGGTCAAGACAAAAACAAACAAAGATGGCTCTTCTTCTTTGAAAGGTTCTGACCCCTGCTCTAACCTCATGCAGCAGGCTCATCGGCAGTGAATGGCCGTGGCGGCAGCCCCACGCTGGACGAGCTGGAGCTGAGCCTGCACGACCTGAAGCTCCAGGTGAGTGACCTCCGTTCTAGCCTGGATGTCGACTTCGCCTCGGACAAGGCCGCCGGAGAAACCCGAAAGACCCGACAGTGGCCCCTGTTGCCGGATCCGGAGCCCGGCATGGGCGCTTTTGAAGACGACAGTGACGACGCCTGGTTTCTCGGTCCGAGACGCCGCTCCAGGTTTTCCTTGGACGGCAGCGCCACCACCATCGCCGCTGCCGGCCTGGGGCTGCACCGCGAGGCGTTCCCGGTGCAGATCGGCGCTCCGCACATCGTCGGCGTGCCCTCGCTGCTGCCGCCGGCGATCCCCGTGCGGGGCAGGTCACCCGTGCGGACGGCGGCGACGGTGGTGCTGGAGGAGGTGGCGAGGGCTCGCCGCTCGCGCTCGCTCGAGCGCTGGGCCGCGGACAGGAGAGGCGCGCGGAGGAGCGGGATGACCCGCTCGCGGTCGCAGTCGCCGAAGCCGGCGTGGAGGCCCAGCTCGGCAAAACCCGACCTCAGCTCACGGCCGCCGCCGCCGGTGCTGCGGTGTACGTCACGCTCGCTGGCGTGTGCTGCGCTCGGTCATTTGCATGGCATTTTTATTACAAAAAGATTTGCCCGCTAATTTTTTATTCCAATTGTGCTCAGTGGTCACAACGCCTATATGGAGCTTGGATCAGTGGTGTAGTGTGGTTGAATCAGAGTCAGAATACTTATTCATACTGGAGGAATCCGATGAGGTAATAAGCTCTTTTTGACAGATGTTCACTAGTGAAAATTATAGTCAACGAAAACAAATCATACTCTCTGGTTCTTTCGGTAAAGTCCCGTAGGTATAAAATAAAATAAATTAAATCACGACGTTATTTTATTTTACCTACGTGACTTTACCGAAAGAACCAAAGAGTATGGATCCCTGCAGTCACGAAAACTTCAAATCTAGATTGAAAACAAATCACTTTAAAAATATATATTTTTTATCTACGAGGTAAGGCCCACTGAACTATTAGCTTATTTTTCAGAAGCGACCTGGTCACAAATGATAGCTCAACGAAATGGCTCATCATGTCAGAATCCATAGCAGCAAAATTATCTAAATAACCTAGATGCATGATTCTGAATGTGGAGGGGAAAACCGGAGGACCTAGGGAAAAAAACAATCCATGGTTGGCAGGGGCCCTGGTGCAAGCAGTGCCATGGGTTCCACCAATGTCTCAAGTTTCCTCTCATCTCCATAGCACGACAGCCGGGCCCCACCGGCCTGTGTGCCCTGGTGCAGTTGCACCACCTGCAAACTTGAAAGCTATGCCACCGTTATACCATAGACCAGGGGTCGGTAACCTATGGCTCGCGAGCCAGATGTGGCTCTTTTGATGACTGCACCTGGCTCGCAAATAAATCTTAGCTGACATTTCTTTAGTTGTATTCAGTGTAAAAAAAAATGTTATATGGCTCTCACGGAAATTTATTTTAAAATATGTGGCTTTCATGGCTCTCTCAGCCAAAAAGGTTCCCGACCCCTGCCATAGACGGTGGCTCCGCCCGTTAAATCGAACGTTGCGGCGACAAGCGAGCCTCCGCCCACTCTTTGCGTGCAGCGCGCAGGAGCGGAGCGAGGGGGAAGAGTGACGAGGAGGGACGGCTGTCGGAGGACGAGCGTGGCCGGCAGCCCTGGCGGGGCCTGCGGTCGTCCCTGCGGTCGCTTTCCGCCGAGCACAGTCCAGGCCCCGCTTCTCGGGGTCCCACGGCGCTGGACGTGAGCGAAAGGTCCGTCCCACTCGCAGAGATGCCGCAACGCCAAGTGGAGGCCTGTGTTGATTACACAGGTAGAGAGGCATGGATGTGGCCATAGGAACAAAGACAAAGATCCCTCTCATAGCCTTAACAAGACTGTTGGGGCAAGTGCTGTTAGCGAGCACCTATGAAGGCCGCCATAGCACACGAGGGGGTGGGTGGTCACCACCATGCCCAACCGCCTTTGTCTCCATGTGGTGATATTTACACACCACACCAGGTACTCATTTGAGGCTTAGTCGACCTAGGGGAGGGCCAGGACCGGTTCAGACAATCGTCGTGAGTGGGAATCGATCTCGTGTCCCTGTATTTGTAGCACAGCGCACAAACCGCTACACTACCGCTCGCATAGGAACACGCACGGACATGACCTGAGATGAGAGAAACCTGGAGAGATGTAAAGAGACATACAGCGATACCTGGAGAGAGGAAAAAACAAAAACAAAGAGAGACAGACGTGAATAGAGTCGTGAAGAGACACACAGAGAAATACGAAGAAAAACCAGAGAGTGACACGGAAAGACATGGAGAGTGATGCAAAGAGAAACATGGGCAAAGACACATGAAGAGAGACCCGGTCAGGGATAGAGACAGAAAGAAACATGCAGAGCAAGAGAGATACAATAGAGACGAACGCAGAGTTACATGGAGTTATATGAGGAAAGATACACATGAAAAGGAGCAAATGCAGAAGCACGGAGAGAAACACAAAGAGGAATGAAGAGAAACAATCTCATAGAGAGACAGGCACAACGAGAGACCTGGAGAGAAATATGATGACAAGGAAAGAGACGGACATGGAGAATCCTGGGACCCTAGCTATAACCCTTAATCCTATCCCTATGCTTAAAACCCAACTTCATCCCCAACCCTAACTTCAACACGGAATCTAACGTATCCCAAGCCATAGCTCTCACCCCTTTTCTTAATTGTAAACCCCTTGCCCTCTGCTAGACTTCTCTGACTCTAACCGCTACCCGGCCCCCCCCCCCCCCCTCGCCAGGTTTGTTGGTTCTCTGGGAGGCCACTTGGGGGGCACGTCTCCGTACGGGGAGGCTCTGCGCCGCTTGCGCCGGCAGCGTCTGCGGGTGGAGGAGGAGCTGCTGCTGGAGCTCAAGCGGCAGCTGGAACTGGAGAGGACGCGCGGGCCCCGGCCTAAGTGGTGCGTGCCGCCCCGTGGCCTCTTGCTCAGTGAGAGTCACGGTGCCATGAGGTGCGGTCCCATGTGGACGCGATAAACGAACAAAAAGGCCTCGAGGTGTGAAATGAAGATGCAGCCCAAATAACAAAGACCTCACTTGCCGTGTAGCTGCGGTGGCGAGATGTTAACCCATTCCTTTTCCGATGACGTATGTGTCCGTCATCGGTTTTCTTCTGATTCCGTTCTGATTTATGTACGTGTACGTCATCGAAATGCAATCGATTCCACACGGAATCAAATCGATTCTGAACGGAATCGGAAGTGCCATGCGGGAGGGCGTGTGGCACAGCTATCGTAGAGTGTGGTTGAATGACTACAGTTCTCTGAGGTGAGTACAATACAATGTCTTTAAAAACAGCAGCGCTACGCCTCTCCAAATAAAATTAACGATAGCCGCTTGCACGTTCCACCCTGCAACCTGCAGACATCTCTGAACAAGAAAGGGTTGACTACCTCTCCTGGTATACAGGAGGTCGTGGGTTCAATCTCGATCCTGATGCCTGTATATTGGAGTTTGCATGTTCTCCCCGTGGTCGTGTGGAATTTCTTTCCGCGTCCTCCTGGTTTTCCCTCCACATTTATAGTCGACACGCTTTTAGAGTATTTAGCTGTTATACATTTCCACATTGTAAGCTATTTCGCTGAGCTATCATTTGTGATGGCCAGGTCGCTTATGAAAAAGAGCTACATAGCTCAGTGGGCCTTACCTGGTAAAATAAAAACAGTTAAATAGATACCAACTCAGCTGGTGTATAATGTCATCGTGCATTGAGTAATCGATTAAAATTGATCCTTGCAATACATGCGTAATATCATGCGTATGATACTTGATCACGTAATATTTTAAGCAAATGTATGATCATTTATAATTTAATCTACGTTAGGCCACAATCATCTGGCCAGATATCTTGCTATAAAACCCTCCACCACCCAAAATAGCGAGTTAAATTGTCACGCGTACAAGTGTTTAATGCGCTAATTATTGTTTCAGCTGACCGGTAAGTTGAAGAACAATTTTCACGATCAAATTTAGCTCAGAACACACATTCTTGCTAAATATGGTTGTGAGCATACATTTTTCGAATGAATTGCTAAAATCCCTTGACTTGCGAGGTGGGTGAATCGTTATATCCCTGCCATCTAGTGTTGGGTAAGAGAGAAGGTCTTCTTAAACAGATGTACAACAATAACATTTCATGTCTATAGCATCTTTCAACGATCGCACTTAAATACGGAGTGACTATCAAAGCAGACGAATATGATGTATAATCAAATTAAAAAAAAAAAACACCTCATTGCTCGTAAATTATATGTTAGCAAGAGTGTCATTGAACAGATGCGTTTTCAGCCGCGATTTAAAATCATCGTGGAATCAGCAACGCTTGCTGAGGGCGGTAAGAAGTTCCAAAGGTTGGGAGGATGAAATGAAAACGCTCTTATCACCCTGAGTGTGAGTTGTGAACCAAGGGAACGGTAATAGTCCAGAGCCTTGAACAGAGTAAACAGCTTGGGGTACAAAGAGACAGGAGTTTATTCAGGTGAGAGGGAGTGGGACCATCTCGTGGTTTAAAAGTTAAACACAACACCTTGAAATCTACTCGAAAACGACACAGGAGCCAGTGTGACGAGGTCAGGGTTGGAGTAATGCGGACAGATTTCTAAGATGTTAAAACCCGGGTAGCGGACATTCTGTACAACCTGCAGTTGGGACAATGCTCCTCGCAGACATTCCGATAAAGAGAGCACCGCAGTAATCAACTTGAGATAAAGTAAAAGAGTGCATTCACTTATCGCCCTCAGAAGAGGAGAGCGAGTGAGAGAGACGGGGAGTCTGAGAGTGGCAATGTGTCTGAGCTGTAAAAAAAGAGAACCTGGTAACATTGCATTTATGGGGCTCAAAGGAAAGTTTGGAATAAAAAATAACTCTTAAGGCTTTGACTGGCGTCTATTTTTGGTTTCAGGGACAAAGCCACAGATGTCAATTTTGGGAAAGTTCAGGTTGTGGAGCTGATGTCCGGATTTCCGGTATAATAACCTTGTTGCCTGTATGTAGTATTTCGTGTCAAATTACTGGCTGTGAGAGTTATGAATGGAAGTTTCACGTCGTGTTACGACGATAATGCGATCTCTGTAGCAGCACAATTGGAATACACTGCTTGGCGAATGTTGGGCTCTTAAATGGCTTTGGATTTTTTTCCCAGAGGATGAGAACTTATTGCATATCATGAGACTGATAGCCGGGCATGGTGGCACATATTTGTAATGCTCCGCTTTAGAAGCATGGGTTTGTTTATTTCATGCAGATTTTCTGAAATTTCCTGCGATCTGGCCAGGGGAAGGAAGTACAGCAAGTTGGTTCGTGAACAAGCCAGTGCATGGTGTGCTCATTCCCGGGTACTGGGGGAATTTCGGTCAACTTGACCGGAACACCCTGCGTTTAAAAAAATAAATTTACCGAACATTCCAAGGCAGGCCCCTCCTGAAAGGGAGTCTTGGGACTCTCCGGGATATTTGAATGACACATTGAGATCTCTGCAAACTCTGATAAGACAATCCTCACAATCTTCTGCTGATTGGTTCTTTATCAACAGCTTTTAACTCAACCCCACCCATATTTCCCCATATATATTTAAAAGTTGCTATACTCCTCAAGTGTACATGCATGGCATTAGTTTCAATGACAGGAAGAAGAACACACGGATTAGAGAACACATGCAATATACAGGCGTCATGCTGACCATTGAAAAAAGCGGGCAGGACGCATCGCTAGGAGGAGTGATGGCTACGGGTAGAGATTAACCATGGAGCTGTAGCCTTGTACCTCACAAGCCCTGGTGGTCTCCCATCAAGCTACTAACCAGGCTCAAATCTAATTAGCTTTCAACCATAGAACGGTCACTGCACTGCGTGCTTTCAGATGCGCTTCTGTGGCCGTCTGGAACACTCTTCCTTCCCATATTTTGAAGCCACTGGAACGGTGCACTTTTAAATCTAAATTGAAAACTAATTTCTTTAGAAATGTTTAGAAATGATTTTCGTGTTTAGTTTGTTGTCCTTCCTCCCCACACCTACGGTTAGCACGGTTGGCTACATACGGTACGAAAGAAGTCCAACATACGTACATTCGACAGGATCGGGCGTATTCAATGTATTTTTTTTTATGTAATGACAGGTACGAGATGAGGGGTCCTCAGTTCCACTACGAAGCCAGGAAGAACAACAACCACTTGCGGAGCAGCGCCGAGTGGCAGAGGATCTATGACTACAGGAACCAACTGCTCTCGGCCTCGCATACTTTCAGGGAAGGCCTGGCCAACAGGCCCTAGCGTCCATTGCCCAAGGTTTGTTTTTGCCGAGGAGGCGTTCGAAATTGTTCCGCAGTCGTCTTGTAAGCTTCGTCGTGGAGTGCCTGCACATTCTCGCATCTTCTGCGGAAACTTTTTCTGCATCTGTCGTAGCTGTCGCTGTCAAGGGACCAGTGTGTGCCTTCTCAAATGTCATTTTTGTCTGTCTTTTATCCGATTACGTTTAAAAAACGTTCACTCGGCATCGTGCCACGAAACGAAGGAATTTCAATCTGGAACCCTTGCTTTAGTGCGGGTTAAATAATGTCCACTTGAAGGTGATATCAGACAACCATTTATGAGATTCTTTAATTTGACTCTTGTCTATTAAGCATGCAGCAATGCATCGATTAGTGTAATAAAGTTAAGCCTTGGCTCATGCACATGGTAATGCATCAGGCGATAATATGCTGATGTTAAACTTGGGTTAATGGAGCGAACATAACTGTTACATTCCTCAGTATCTGGAACGCCACCCCACTGCACACTCGCAGCAATCTTCACCGACTGTTAAGAGGCACTCAAAGGCCCTACCTCTTTCGTGCCCCAACTGGCTTTCCAGTAACACTGACCTTGGCTGTGAGCATCACAATCACGGTCGTCACAAATTGCACTTTTGTTACTATTACAATCGAGGCAAACGAAAGCGAGAAACGATTTAATTGAGGCGGCACAAAGAAGCCGAAGAAGAAGAATCCATTGTTTAACTGAATGCCGATCCTGAATTTTGACAGTGCGTCAAGTCGCCAGGGTGGGGTGATTCACTACATGCTTATTATCCACACTAGCGGCACCACACATTCTTATGTGTCCTGCAATGTAGATAATAATCATAAATATAAATTTACCTTTGCAAGGTGCATTTCATTCGTAGATCCAAATGTGCCGTGTAATTAAAATAGGAAATAATCAGAAGCAGGGTAAACGGCCGGAGCTAGGGGGTTCTTTTTTCGTATAGCATGGGTGAGGGGGGGGGGCAGGAATAGTTTGTATAGATATCATCGTTGAATGTTAAGGTCCTTCAACCAATTCAAGGTGGTAGTCGATGCTGTATGGATTGCAGCGATACCGCCAGGGTGTGTGCGTGGATGCCGCAACTCGTCGCCGATGCGGTTGACAGTTTTGGCTTCGCCGCAGTCGCAGTTTGGGGGTAAAGGACAGTTTAAGGAGGTGAGTTTTCAAGACAGACTTAAATCTACCGAACGATTCTGATGACATGGCATTTGAATGCCAAATCGTAGTACTCAAGACAGTTGGATGTATACCTAATTTAGCATTTAATTGTGTGTGTGTGTGTGCAGTTATTGCTGATCCGGGCGAAGACCTGTCTACACTTGAAAACCCAGTTGAAATTTTGGATCATCGCCATCGCCGTTGTCCATCCACTGCTGGATAAAGGTCTCTCCCCATGCCGCCGATATCCTTCCCGGTCCTGCGATGTAACGATCCCATCAAGTGCCTGCACGAGGGCCGACCTCACGGCTCCGTCTCTCCCCTGTGGACATCCTTTCGTTCACGTTTCCTCCTTTGGCTGCCACCCACCCTTGTCATCCGTCTCAACCATCGTCCCAAATCGCGACAACCTCCCGGCCTGGCCCGCTGACTTACTTAACGGTCAACATCGTGTGTGCCTTGCTTGTGCTTGTTCTGCAATCTGCCTCTCGGCGGTGTGATTCCACTCACTGATTCAAGAGCCGAATGGCTCACAGGGCTGTACCAAATAAATGGAGCTAAATGGAACTAAATGGAACTGATTCCGCATGCTATCGCGGGTACTGTACGGTAGTTGCCTGGACTTCAATCCAGGGCCTCCGTGGTGCTGGCTGAGCGCTCTGACTTGGAATTCACCCTCCGAGGCACAGCCACGTCGGACTGCTGTGAACATTGATTCTGGCTCTGATGTCTAGAGTGAGGCCTATACGCTGGGCCCGATTGTCTCGTCTGTACTCCGTGCAGCTGCTTCACCGCAGAACGGAGCACGTCCCCTCGTTTCTAACTCTCATCAGCCGTGTCCGTCTGTGGCAGGGGGTCATGGTAACGCCCGGAAAGATAATCCAATACAAATTACATTTTAGGATGAAGTTGTGTTGCCATTAGGGACTTATGTAACGGAAAACCAGCCAAATCGATCAAGAGTTGCACGAAACCTCAAGATTAAAAAAACCCCCCAGAAATAATGGCTGTGATATCACCGGCTCCTCACGATGTCATCTCAAGTGGCATTAATTGAATCGATTGGCGGCACCCCCGGTCACGATGGTGACCCGGGGGTGCCAAAACCTCCGTAACTCCGAAACCAGAAAGCCTATGAAGATTGGAGATGCCATTGAGCCCGATATGCAATGCCAAATATGGAAATAAAAAACACGCAAAACACCCATAAAAAGGGGGGCTGCTGGGGATTTGTGCGTGGCAACGGCTGTTTATCGCTTGTTGTGAAAGTACATCGGGATGCTGGTCTGGTCATTCCCCAGCACGTTCTGCTTCTTACGGGGGCGGCCACCACCCTTGTCTTTGGGAGCGAGACCACTTGGAGGCAATGGCGCACCAGGCGCTCGCTTGCTACGGCCGGCGGTCACGGTGGTACTGGCGGGATCGACATTGTCGTCATCATCGCTCCCAGCGTCGCCCTCCGGCAGGACAGGGTAGTACCAGCGATGCTCCCAGAAAAAAAAACCTTTAAACTATGCCCGACCCACCAATATTTTGCGGTGACCCGGACTACCGCCAATCGATTCAATTGTTCTGCGGTGCCGAAGATAACGTTATTGGAGGTAATTAAATCCTTCCGATGGCAAATGCGTGTCGGAAAGCATTTTCAGAATACACGTGTACGCATGATTTTTCTTCCTCGTTCTCTCTCGCGCACACAGCTCGCTTGGTCTGCCTCTACTGCCTCGAATTATTAACTGACTCGGTTAACGAAGCTTGTCAAATCTCACCTTACAATTTTACTTTAATTCTATTGAAGCATAGCGCGAACAAAGCTCTTTAAGTTTCCCTTGAAGAGCAAAAACTGACCACTTTCATCATTTATATATAAAACCAGACTGGTATTTTATTTTGAGCATTCAAATCGACTTACGGGTGGTCGCGCTTTTCTCGAAAGTAGTCACTCTCTCTGCCATCTGCGAAGAAGGACAATTGCCTGAAAAACAAGCCTGTTATATATATATTTTCGTCTGTTATAAACCAGTGTTTATGGCGAAATGTGTTCCACTGGCACTGCAACCTCCTTAATCTTTCAACCTCTTCACCACCTCTTATTCGTCACGTTGCTTGCTCGTTTGAATTGTTACGCCACGCAAGCCTGCTTGCCGCCTACCTACTGTGGGCAGAAACGGAAAAGACCACGCGTATGCATGGATTCTGTAACGCGTTCCAACGTACGCGTTTGTCCTCGGGTCTGAGTCATCTCGGTCAGTCAACCCATGGCACCTGCTGGGTCTGTCCCGTGACCTCCTGCCAGCTGGGCGTTCGACACTTCACGTGACCTTAAAGTGCACACAGCCTGGCACAAGCGCCGTGGTGACGTCACCACCACTTAGTGGCGAATGGTGGCTGTTGTTGTTAATTGGCTACCGTGTTACATTTCAAGCCGCACAATCAGACGGTGTCACACCGCGCCTGATAACGTTACATAATGGCGTCATCGGGAGGGTATCCACACTCGCCTTGTCTGTTAAGTCGAACCCTCTTCGCGTTTCAGTTTCATCTATTTCCGTTTCATTTATTCGGTGTGACCCTGTGAGCCATGCGGCTCTTGACTCGGGTGCAACCGCAACAAAACAAAAACATGAACAAGAAAACATCTTAAAGTGACTACAACCAACAGAAAAAAATCTTGGAAAAAAACAGCAAAGCCTTCCAGAAAAAAACACCGCAAGTTGTTTTTTTGTGTCCAGATGTTTTTTTTTGAGCAACCCCTTTGTCGAATTTGGCCAAATTTTTGGTCGAGGGCAATTTCCCCACAGCAACACAACTCCACACTTGAGTGGTTTCGGTTCACATTGGATCTTCTTCGTGGGAGTGATCGTGAACTCCCTTTTGCCTCATGCACAGACGAACCGGAGCGAATGCATTTACACTTCGAACCTCGGCCGGAATTGCGTGACAGCACGACTTGCCGCGTCGATCCCACGCAACGTCGCAGTAGCCCAATCAACCGGCTGTAGATGCACTGCGGAATTTCTGCGAGTGGGAGAGGCGCACCAGCAACCCCCCCCCCCGACCCGAGCTGCTGTGGCTACTTTATCCCCCCTGGTGGCAGTGTTGGACCCTCATCGACTTCGCTGCTACGCGGCCTCAAGACACCGCGGCGCAAAAAACATCCCCACCGCAGACCGACACCTCCCCCGGCTCCCCTCTATTCGAACCGTTGAGGAAATCTCAGCCGTGGCCGATGGAATCGCCAGGAGGGCCATTGGCTTGTGAAACGCGACCATCCGTGCTGCCGTCCAGGTTTTTTTGTTTGTCCCGCGGCCGTTGGGCATTGTTGCCCTTGAATGAGTTTCGTTGTTGTTGTCTGCGTACAGCCTCGCCGCCTGTTGGGTTTTGGCTGACCCGCTGAAATATGACACACGACTGCCATGGTGTGGCAGTATTGACACCGCTTGAAACCAGCGGTGGCAAACCCTTTTTTGTTTCAAACAACACTCTGGGCCGCAACCACAGCGACAACAACAACAGACATACGACCGCTTTTCCCCACGGCACTTGTGCACCTTCCAGAAGCGGCAGGAAACCTCGAGGTGCACCTTTAGCCGCTCACACACGAACAACACAAACAACACGAACAACACGCAAACACACGAACACTCATACACGAACAACACGAACAACACTCACACGAACACACGAACAACACGAACACACACACGAACAACACGAACACACACACGAACAACACGAACAACACGCAAACACACGAACACTCATACACGAACAACACGAACAACACTCACACGAACACACGAACAACACGAACACACACACGAACAACACGAACACACACGAACAACACGAACACACACACGAACAACACGAACACACGAACACACAAACAACACGAACACACGAACACTCACACACGAACAACACACACACGAACAACACGAACACACTCACACGCGAACACACACACACGAACACTCACACACGAACAACACACACACGAACAACACGAACACACTCACACGCGAACACACACACACGAACACTCACACACGAACACTCACACACGAACACAAAAGACAAAGATACCCCGTATAGCCTTAACAGACTGTAGGGGCAAGTGCTGTTAGCGAGCACCTATGAAGGCTGGAACGGTACACCAGGGGGTGGGTGGCCAGCACCACGCCCGACGCCTTTGTCTCCCTAGTGGCGATGTTTACACACCGCACCAGGTACTCATTTGAGGCTGAGTCGACCTAGGGGAGGCCCGGGACCGGTTCAGATAATCGTCACTGGTGTTGGCCGTGAGCGGGAATCGAACCCGGGTCGCCAGGTTAATAGCGCCGCGTAGCGCTAACCGCTACACTATCGCCCCCCACAGAACAACACAAAAGACAAAGATCCCCTGTATAGCCTTAACAGACTGTAGGGGCAAGTTCTGTTAGCGAGCACCTATGAAGGCCGGAACACACACACGAACAACACGAACACACACACACTCACACACGAACACTCACACACGAACAACACGAACACCACGAACAACAAGAACACATGAACAACACACACACGAACAACACGAACACACTAACAACACACGCGTCGTCAGCGTCATCCAATAATAGCGCGAAAAATAACACACGTGTCAACTTGGGTTTCCACCTGAGGTTCGAATAACCGGGACGCAATGGGAAGGAGAACATTTTATAATACTTGAAAAAATGGGGAAAACTACATGTGAATTTATCGTCTCCAGTGGTGTATATTATTATTTTGCAGCTTACAAAACGCAGGACTTTCAATGTGCTGGGAAGAACTACATATTTCCCAGCACAGTAGCTACCTCAACAAGGAGACATCCCTGGGGAAATCTGGACTGGTGGCAACCCTAGTGTCGACCGAGTATGAAGAGTCCCTTGGAGTCAGAGAGGTGGTGACTACGATTATTAAAGTTAGAAACGAGGTTGAACATATTTCCCTCTCGTCGTACCCCTGCGCGAGACTCAACACACATAGACATTTATTTTATTTTCTGTAAATGACATTCCATCTGCGCCATCTCCATCATAACATAAATCGAAGGAAATATATTAGGACGCTGACGGTGAGCGGTGCACCGCGTTGCTTCAAGGCAATGGCTCTCCCCCTGATAGGCGTTCGCGGTGGTCACTCTGCCATCGACGGGAGCCGATGGTGTCGCTCCTCGCCAGCTCCCGTGGTGGGGATAGACACTGCGCGCATCGCGGAGCGTGATGATCCGCGTTGCAGCACCTTTGCCCGGTGTTTTCCTCCCTTGCGCCTTGAGCCCGCGCATGGTCGGTGGATTTGTTTCAACTCTGACCTCGACACTCGAAGGCGAGCTATGCGCCACCGATGGGCCAAGGTGGCAGTGTCGGATGAGGTCCTCTCTATCGAGGAGACTAAAAGTAAACTATTTGACTAAAATTTATTTTATTTTACCAGGTAAGGCTCACTGAACTATGTAGTTATTTTTCAGAAGCGACCTGGCCACAAATGATAGCTCAAGCGAAGTGGCCCATCGTGTGGAAATTTATAGCAGCCGTAGTTACTCTAAACGCGTGTCGATTCTAAATGTGGAGGGAAAACCCGTGAGGACCCGGAGAAAAAGCCACGCGACCACGGGGAGAACCCCCAAATTCAAAATATACAGCAGCAGCAGGCGTCAGGTCGGGATAGAACCCACGACCTCCTGTATACCAGGCGAGGTAGTGAACATCTCCTAGCCACCGCGGTGCCCCAACCAGCGCCGGATGTCACGGCGACGTTTGTGATGAAGTCAGAGCACTTGATCTGACTTCAGAACGTCGACGGCGCGTACGGAAAGCCTCGTGACGCTTGGTGTCGGACGACGGGTGTGTACGAGAGTGGACACGCGGCCTTTTCTCCACTCTTGGAGGCGCTCCACGCGATTGTGAGTGATGGGGGGGAGTGGTCGAGCGGAGCGTAGCCCGACCAATTGCTGTACCTTGCGTGTGATTTCAAAGTTGGCCACGTAATTTATTGTGATTTCTGAACATGATTATGCTGTGGGTTGTTTACCTACATTTCATTGCAAACATTTGTTACTTGATGCCACCAAAGATACCGCAAGTGTGTTGGCAAAGTGTTTATGTTTGTGGTTTAAATGGCATTGATTAATATTGTACGTGATTTGTACTTTTTTTTTACCAGTGCTAAAGTTGCATATATTCAACTAATCTTGTGTTATTAATCTATGACCATTTGGTTGTTGCTACTGCACAACAACAAAAACCCTGTGCCATTTCACAACGCTCTGGAATTGTGCTTTTGTAAACGAAAGTGTATTCGTTAACGTATGTATTCTCCGATGCAAACGGTAAATGTGCGTGTGGTGTTCAAATTTACGTGACGCGTGAACACTTTACGCGTTTATAAACGGGTTCATTAACGTTTTACGGAAACACGTTGCCTGTCGTCATTCATAAAGATGGGGCTCCTATGGAGTGGCGGGCGCGGGTGGGTCAAGAGCAGGATGGAAGAGGGGCAGGTGACTGAGGAGGTGTCGTGGTGGCACCCAGAGGTTATTATTACTCCTACTAATTTTTTTAATGTTCCCAGAGTAAGGCCCACTGAGCTACGTAGCTCTTCCTGATTTGAAGCTTTCGTGACTGCCGGAATCCATACTCTTTGGTTCTTTCGGTAAAGTCACGTAGTTAGAAAAATAAAATAAATTATATATCACGACGTTTCGATCGCAACACAAGCGGTCGTCCTCAGGCGGGAAACAAACGCAGTTAAAATAAATGAATAACAATAATCCAGTAGTGCAACTGCTAAACGTTCAGCAATTCCACTGCTGGAGTATTTCTTTCCGCCTGAGCACGACCGCTTGTGTTGCGATCGAAACGTCGCGATATATTATGTTTTGTTTTATTTTATTTGTTATGCCTACGTGACTTTACCGAAAGAACCAAAGAGCATATAGCTCTTTTTTTTTCAGAAGCGACCTGGCCATCACAAATGATGGCTCAACGAAGTCGCTTATCGCGTGGACATTCG